CATGGCAAAGCTTTGTGACTCATTGCCATGCGTTGTGATACCTTGTGTTGCAATTAAATATACACCTGTATCATTTTATCACAACACAAACACCAAAACAATTTTTTACATAAGTCGATTATTTACAGTTTTGCATACCTTCATTTTTTTACCTTTTCGCAAAAAGGCGCAATTACAAATTTGCTAATATTTGTTATTTATTAACTCAATACAGTTTTATCTTTTAGATTTAGTCAAAAAATATTTTTTTTTGTGCACGGATACTGATTTTGGTGTGTTTTAACAATTGAATTGTGTATTTTTATCGGTTTAATATTAATTTGAGAAACATTTGCGCAATTATCGCAGGGCCTACAAATTTAGTATCACCATCTTTTTATTCTACCGGGCCTGCGCTTTCAGAAAATATATGGTTTGGGGGGTCTTTTACAAACGCTAGCAACGCAGCAGTTGAAAATCAAATCAATAGGAAAAAATTGCAGAAAATTCAAAAATGGCTTGGCCAGCTGATTTGAAAAATGTTCCGGAGGGCTTGGCAGCGAAAGGGTTAAAAGACTGTTTAAAAGACTTTCCTATGTGGGTGAGGAAAATCACAACTACCTTATCTAGCCAACTTTCTTACATCTTCTAATCACTCTACATGGCAAATTAGTTTTTCCTACTGAGACAAACTTTATCAATTTTAGAGAACTGGAAGCAATACCAAATATCTTGACTAGGTAGAATAACTGCCCTAAAGATGACTTGGCTCTTTAAATAACTTCAGAAAACCCCCAATCCACACAGTGTTAAATGTCTTGAGCTCAATCCAGTAAGCGTTCTTAAAATTCATATGGAAGAAGCTAGACAGTCTCCAAAAAAATACTTTTGACCAAAATCTATAGGGGCACTAGCTGTCCCACACATTGTAAATTATTAGTGGGCTGCTCAATTAGCCTCTTTAATCTACTATTATGTCACTGCCACACTCCACTATGGGCTAGCATTGAATCGTACCAGGCTGTGCCGCTAGCGATGGAGAACATCTCCCATAACATCCACATTTTTAAGGAATTTTTCATTACGGGGGGACTGCATTAAATACTGTGGCAAATTGCTCTCCACCGACATGCCCCTCACAATCATTTCTCATCCCTTATTGCTTATGGCATTTTCTGTGTCTATGGATGCCTTAAGTGTGACTTCCTATACCCTCCAATCTATAGATTGCACTGAAAAAGGTATATGGGCGATACCTTAGGCATGACCGTCTCAGATATGGGACACAATTGTGTTTGATGAATTCTTCATTTACATGGGCGACTACAAGTTGTTGCTCTGGTACATGTCTCACAGTTTGGCAAAATTTACCCAGGGTGCCTTGGACATGCTTTAGGGCTTGTCCACACCGAAAGCATGTGCGTTCCAGAGCGGTAGCTGCTGGAACGCACCGCGATCGCTAACAAACATCTCCCCGCGTTTTGTGGCGGGAGGGGGCGTGGCGATGCATTGAATCCCGCAGTGCGATCGAACGCGTGGCAAAACTTTGCCAGTGTTGCGTTCCACTGCAAACGCAAGAAATAGAGCAAGCCCTTTTTTTTGCGTTTGCAGTGGAAGGGAATGCTGGCAAAGTCTTGCCACGCATTCGATCGCACTGCGGGCGGGGGGCATGGAAGCGTTGCCATTGAATTCAATGCACCGCCACACCCCCTCCCGCCCCAAAAGCGGTGAGAAGTCTCTTAGCGATCGCGGTGCGTTCCTGCAGCTACCGTGCTGGAATGCACACGCTTTCGGTGTGAACAAGGCCTTAGGGATTGTGGTGGGAACAGATATGCACATTTGGTGGCACTGCCCTAGCATCAAAACATTTTGAATTAGTGTCTACCAATTAGTGTTTGTTGTTCTGGGGACGGCATCACTAAAACTGCACCAAAGATTATTTGAACTTCTGACCTTCATTTGTAACTTCTACTCGCAGTTTAAAGGAGTTGTAAAGTCACAGTATATATCATCCTGTTATAACATCAGCATTTAAATAGGAATGCATACTATACTTTTATTTGATAATGCAATCAACTGTTACTTGGATAATAAAAAAAACATTTTATGTAGTGAGGGCTGCCGGCTGTCTGCCCATCACTTTCAACAACTTCCTGGCTTCCCAGTGTGCTTTGTGTCTCTTTCTCTGCTGCTTGATTTGATTCAGTCTTGATTTCTCGAGACTACATAGTCCCTCATATATTGCTTTCAGCAAGCAATGATAATTTTACATTGTTCAGACATTAAGTTGTAGCTCAGAAGGGGTAGTCTGTCAGAGTACATCCTACGGGTATCTTCAATAAGTAAGTTTACAAACTTCTAGAAAAATAGTCATAAGGAGTGGGATAGAACTTATGGAAATTCAGTATAGATATACAGATATATTTTTCGTTTTTGACCATAGATAACCTTTCAGAAAAAAAGATGGCTTGGTACCCGATTGAGAAACACGTGGCCATCCTACATGACATAATTGCCATATAGAAAGATATTTGGACCCCATGGATAGCACACTTGTCAACACCCTTACTACCGTCCCCATTTCCCCCACCCTCTTCTTTATCTTTTTTTTATTGCTTCGCTCTTACTCTTTTACACATCTAAACCACTGATGGTCTAGGTGGGGATTCCTGATACCGAGCTACACCCCCATCTGCCCCAGATACTATCTAGGTTCTTCTGTGCAGGCACCATCTAGTTGTATGCATAATGTAGAAATGGGACATCTGCCAATTTTCTCACTCCCTAATTAACATCATTACCCATAATTGTTCCAGTAGGATATCTTTTGTATAATACCTATGCCTACCATTTGCATTGTAAACCATAGTGAACCTTTAATGCTCTTCGTTTGATAAATCACTTTGTTTCAATCATTTTTATTGAAAACATTTGCAGAGACATTTTAAAATCTGCTTAGTAAGGCTTTACATGTAGTAATTGCTCTGGAAAAAGGGCAGTTTGTATATCTAAAATGTTTGAGAGCTGCAGTGGCTGTCAGGGTCACAGACTCCCTAGAATAAAGTACTTCTGGAACTACTGTGTAAATGACTTGCACTAAAATATAGCAGTCTCAGAACAGAATGCTTAAAAACCAAGTGTATTGCCAATAAAAGCAAGGCAGACTATATCTTTTAAACAGAAATAAAATCGCAGTGCTCCTAGAAAGCATGCAAAGCAAGCGTCTTTATAGCCCATCCTAAAGTAATATTTCACTCGTAGCTAAAGTGAGTTACCTCCCTGAGTCACCACCTGATAACCTATGTGTTTTGGGGAATCTAACATCAAAAGCGCCCAGATTTGTTCCCAACCACTTTGCCATTTTGGATGTTCTGCCAACCGTGGGGATTGTTCACTTCTGTTGCATTCTCCATTCTATAGCTTAAAACCTCCAGCTAGTAGAGTGGACTCCCCTTAAAATTGCTGCAGCAGTTGTGCAGACCCAGGAACTCAATCAACAGAGAAACCCTGAAAGATGAAATAAACCAAAAGGTGGTCAAATCTCCAGGTTCTGCAGAAAACCTTTAAAGCTACCCTGTTGCTATCCTTAAAAGTGACACTAAACTCAGGAGTTAAATCTTAAAAAAATAATGTACCATAACTATTAACAATCCTGGGCCGTATCTGTGCATCACTCTGCTGTAGATCCTCAAATCATTTCTGAATTGGTGCTGACACTGTCCTTCCTTCTTGAGAGTGGCTGCGTTTATTCCCCATGGTCCCTGTGTGTGTTGTAAAGTAGTCACCGCTCCAAGCTTACTCCGGTGATGGACTACAGTCATATGCAAATGTGTCCTGTTGCACTCCTTACCCAAACAGAAGAAATGATACCTGTATACCAGGCGGGTGCTTGAAGTGACCACGGATGGCACTGTGTAATATCACAAAGTCCCAAAAATGTCACCACCACACCATCAAAACATAAAGCAAAACGGTTTTAATGACTCATTCTGACGCCGAGGAAGGGGACCCCGTGATGCCCTGAAAATGTTGTATTTGAATGACATGCATGTGTCATTAAAACCGTATTTCTTTGTTTTGACGGTGTGCTGGTGACATTTTTTGGACTTTGTACTTTGCAAAACACACATGGACCATGAGGAAGAAACGTAGCCACCCTAAGGAAGGACAGTGTCAGATTATTTGAGGATCTACAGCTGAGTGGTACACAAGTTACATTTTTATTAATAGTTGTGGTACTCATTTAAGATTTAACTCCCTAGCACTTAAAGTAAACCTTTAACCCTTTTGACAAAAAAAATCACATGAGCATACAGCTCTGCATGCTGATATGAAATCATCTTACATTCATTAGCTAAACAAGCATTATTTTATTTTACTTGCAATTAATTTTTTTCGCACTTTCTAGTCCACTTTGGCACAAATTATGTAATTGTGCCCAAGCGAAGCATCCTGGAAAGGTTACATCCGCAGAGCTTTGCTAGGAAATCTCATCTGTAATCTCATGAGATCGAAGGAAAGGCATTTTCCTCCCCTAAGATGTGCCTAGTCACTTGACCTAGTAAGATATGCCAGAGTAAAGGGAGATCTAGTAATCCTTCCTTAGTTAAAATGGCCACTGTCAGAAGACTGGGTAAGTAAATATAGATAAGGTATGCAAGGAATACAAAGCCGGCAATTATCTAGAAGTATCTGTTTGTAGATTGTCATTACTAAACATTTCTAAAGGTGCCTTTGTTGTTATTTTGAAGATGAGGTTCCACTGGCACCCTGTAAAAGAATAGGCTGAATATTTACCAATCTGGCAGGCAAGAAGGGAAATCTTACATCCGGCACTGCTATTTCAATACACAACACATAGTGATAAGGTAGGGAACGGTGGAAGGAAGACAGCACATGGCAGGGGACATGTTAGTTGGCCCACCCTGAAGGCAACCTTACCTGAGAGAAATTTAAGATGGTCACTAGCTGTGTGTGGCCTCACTGCTTTCTGATTCACTGACCTTGAACAAGGATGTAGCAAACTATTTCAGAATGATGTCTGAGCACACTACAGTACTGAAGACAGCATAACAGAAAGTATATTAGCATTTTTAGGAAGGTAGACCAACAATTATGGATTTCTATTACCAACGGTGCTTTGGAAAACACTGCTTTAGATAAGTAGATTGTTTATACAATGACTTGTCTTCTCTTCTCTCCTACCTGGATTAGCGGATGATATGTTCTGTGAGATGGTGAAGTCCAGTAAGCTCTGTGAGCGGAAGCTCTTCATTCAATTTTGTTGCCGGACGTGTATGCTAGCAGGCTGACCATGTTTTTAGAAGTTTCGTCACCTTCTCAAGTTGGAGTGACTTCTGCCGGTGGAGTCCAGATCGCCCACTTCTGGCTATGGTGCTATCTTGATGGCATTGATCCATTTCATGCCAAAACTGACAAGGGATGTATTTCAAGGATTTCTGCTTGACATACCTTGTAATGTACTGCATTGCTAAACATGCTCCACCCACAAAAGAGGTTTATGGAGCTGGACCAGACTTCAGGCAGCATTCTGGATTTAAATCTTAATCTGTACAAAGCAAGAGCTTTTTTATTTTTTTTTATTTTTTGCCACAGCTTCAAACATCAATTCCCACCATCTTATCCTTCATTTTTTTCTATGTGCTAATGGATACTGTGGTGGACAGACACATAGGAGGGCTACATAATGTGAACTTTCGTTGCTGATATTGGTGTCCACTACAGTGTATGCACATTTTTTTTTTAAAACAGGTTTTTTAAGAGGGCTCTGGATATCACCCAGGAGTCAATGCTGATACATAAAATACCATTTATAAAAATGTAAATGGCCCCCAGATCTGTTGTTTAAAGTGAGCTGTTGGTAAAAGGCGCGAGTTGAGTAGCTGGTAGAGTTGCGTAGTCTGGTAGATGTTAAACACAGGCTGACTTTTAATGAGCATTGGCGAACGTGACATAACACACGACACTAAACACTACCCTAATCCTTTTCTTTTTTTCACAAATGAACCTAAAGCTTCTATTTTGTGCACTTACACATCACATGGGTGTCGAGTATAAATTGTCTACAGTACACATTTAGTATGCGTTTAATACAGTTTGATATATTAACACTATTATACAATTTTTAAGATATTCACAAAAAAGGTATTGAGAGAGTCACTTCTGGTTGATAAGTAATGAGCTTGTAGAATAAAGGGTATAGGTAATGGAATGATCACAAAATGGCACCAAATGTATTGATGTTGCCCTTGAAAATATTTTAGTCTAATATTTTATACATAGTTACATAGGTTGAAAAAAGACACCAGTCCAGTGAGTTCAACCTATAGAGAACTCCTGATCTTTATTGTGACTCCTGTTACGATACATATGTAAACGGTAGTGAATAACATACCTTTTATAGCTACTCATCAAATCTGGTGATCTTTCTGAAGGATGTAATCATACTTTGTTGTTTTAAAAATTTAAAGGAAGTGGAGCTTAATGGTTGGCATACTCCATTTCCAGCTAGGAAAACATCTGTGTATAGCAACGTCACCGAGAAGTATGGCAAGCACAGATTGTATGCTGTTGCTTTTAGAAGAACCCAGGGACTTTGCTATTGGGGGCAGAACTAAGAGAACTTCCAACCAATCCCAGCAACTCTATGCTGCCCACCGCCCCAGTCTGCCACCTGACAAAGAGGTACTTGCATTGCCACATAGCAGAAACTTCCCTGTCTGTTTCAGTTCTTTAAAATTTTATAACTACTAGTATGCAAAGTAATTCATTTTTATTTTTCCATGGAAATGCATTCAGCTGAAGGATATATTACGGGCTGCTTGTATGCAAGTATCATTTTAAAGAGTTATACATAGAGGCACATACTGTAACTTTATCAAAAATGAATAATTCTTAATTTGTCTTAAACCCGATTTTATTGTGGGTAAGTAAACCATATTGCAGTTTGTTATTGAGTAAAGGCCAAGATGATAATGTGCAGAGCACTAGGAAAGGTTGCCAGAATTACAAAGGACAAACTACAATGATGTCTACAACAGTGTTAAATGTATCTTGATTTTAACTCAGTCCCTTGGTTGGTGAACATATTCATGACTCCGGTGTGATTTCTGAGTAATAGTAGGTACCACCCAAAGTGATAAAAAGAAAATGGTGCTAACCAATGAGATTCAAGCAATTGCTTTTCTATAGTAGGTTGGGTACCAGTACAGCAAACGGGTGATTTTCACCCCCCCCCCGGATTGTCATGAAGTTACCTTTGCAAGCTTACAAAGGCTCTTCAAGAACGATATAGGCTCTGACCAGTGCATAGTTGTGAATTATTGCAGACAGGTTAACATGCAGTTAAGTGCACCACAACATACATAAAACTGGACCATTTTTTTTTAATGCACCATGCCACATACTACAGACAATTCATATATGTGTGCTAAAATGCACATGAGTTGAGGTGTGCTGCATGGTGCATTGGGGTGCCATGTACTGTAACCTGTTTACCACTGGGCAAAGGTAGGATAAAGCCAACTTTGCTTAGCCTCTATGCAGAGGTGGCTTACGCTTGGCTCATTACCTTCTGCATGAGAGATGAGGGTAGTATGATGTCTGAGCCATTATCTGAAATCAGCCAAGCTGACATGAACTAGTCATTAGGGAGGTGGTACCACAGATATATATTCAGCTCTGTGCCAGCCTATGGCAGGATTTTTTTGATAACTAGCCCACCTCAGTACAGCTGTTTTGACATAGACCTTGGCTCTCTTTCTGGACATGAGCAAACTAAGGACAGGAAGGGCTAAGCTACACAGGCAATTTCAGTGCTTGTTGCAGAGACATTTAATCACGTTCTAGCAGTCACCTCATTAGGCTAGAGCTACAAAGGCAATTTTTGGCAGGTCAGTTGTGCAATTGAAATTGCTAGCGATTAATTGCTGTTGGTACTTGGCCACTAAACAGCACCCCTACGGAGAAAGCTACACAACCATTCGGCTTACTCCATAGTGACCCATTTGTTCTGTTTAGCAATACATTTCTGGTGATTTTAGTAGCAGAATTAAGTTTTTAGAAATGGACTATGTAGCGGTAGCCTAACAAGGTGACATTAACCACTTAAGGATTTTAAATGTAGAACACACCCCCTAAAAGCGTTTACAGGCCTGTGAAAAAGAAAGTACACCCTCTTTGAATTCTGTGGTTTTAAGTATCAGGACATAAGTCATCTTGTCTTAGCAGGTCTTAAAATGAGGTAAATACAACCTGAGATGAACAACCACACGACTTTTATTACACGGTGTCAATATTGATTTTACAATTGTAAAGCCAAAATGGAGAAGCCATGTGTGAAAAACAAAGTACACCTTATTCAATAGCTTGTAGAACCACCATGATCCGCAATAGGTAATCGTAATTTTTTTCTGCATGACTTTCAGTCTTTCACATCTTGGTGGAGAAATTTCGGACCACTCTTCTTTACAATGTTGCTTCATTTCATTGAGGTTTGCGGGCATTTGTTTATGCACAGGTCCCACCACGGCATTTAATCGGGATGAGGTCTTGGCTTTGGGCCATTGCAACAACTTGATTCTTTTCTTTTTCAGACATTCTGTTGTAGATGTACTGGCGTGCTTGGGAGGAGTATCCTGTTTCATGACCCAATTTTGGCCAAGCTTTAGCTGTTGAACAGATGGCCTCACATTGGACTCTAGAATTGTTTAGTATTCCGAAGAGTTCATGGTTGACTCAATGACTGCAAGGTGCCCAGGTCCTGTGGCTGTAAAACAAGCCCAAATCACCCCCCCCCCCCCCCCCCCCCCCCCCCCACCACCACCACTGTGCCCGACAGTTGGTATGAGGTGTATGTGCTGATATTCTGTTTGGTTTTTGCCAAACATGGCGCTAAGCATTATGGCCAAACCTCTCCACATTGGTCTCATCAGTCCAAATGACATTGTTCCAGAAGTCTTGTGGTTTGCTTGGATACCAGTTTGCAAATCTAAGCTGTGCTGCCATGTTCTTTATTAGAGATAAGAGGCTTTCTCCTGGCAACTCTTCCACACAAACCATACTTGTTCAGTCTTTTTCTAATTGTACTGTCATGAACTTTAGCATTTAACATGCTTTGTGAGGCCTGTAGAGTCTGAAATGTAACGCTTGGGTTTTTTGCCTGTTCTCTGAGCATTGCACGGTCTGACCCTGGGGTAAATTTGCTGGGACATTCACTACTGGGAAGATTGGCAACTGTCTTAAAATGTTTTCCACTTGTGAATAATCCTCACTGTAGAATAATGGGCTTTAGATTGTTTGGAAATGGCCTTATAACCCTTCCCAGATTGATGGGCAGCAAAGATTGCTTCTCTAAGATCCTTGCCTCCTTGGCATTGTGTTAACACACCTGAATGCTCCAGACCAGCCAACTGCTAAAACTTTGGCTTTTATAGAGGGGGTACACAGCTGCTACTTAGCCTCGTTATTCCTATGGAAGCAGTAAGGGTGCACATAGTTTTTCGCACATAACTTCTCCATTTTGGCTTAATGTTGTTAAAATAAATAATTACAATGCGTAAAGGGATGTGTTGTCTGAGGTTGTATTTACCTAATTTTAATTTTAGTATGTCCTGATACTTAGAACCTTAGAATTCAGAGGGTGTACTTTTATGTGATTGTACCTTCATTAAACAAAATTTCTAGGCTGTATCTCCTACATTTAGAACCCTCCCCCTGTTTATGCTTTTACCGTATATACTCGAGTATAAGCCGAGATTTTCAGCCCATTTTTTGGGGTGAAAAGTGCCCCCCTCGGCTTATACTCGAGTCAGCGCCAGCGCGTCTTCTTACTTACCTCGCCGAGCGTCGCGTCACTGCTGCTCCGGTGTGCGGCGCTCCGAGCGGGGTCATCTGGCAGTCTCCGGGTCCTAATTTAGGTGGCCGGAGACTGCCAGATGACCCCG